TTTTACATTCTTATTTTCTACTAAGCTGTTAGAATCCAGTGTATATTTTATACTTAAAAACATCTCAATTTGAAAAAAAAATTTTTTTAGGAAATATTTGCTCTGTACTTGAATTTCATAAAATTTACATCTGAAAAAGTAGATTTACATATGCAGGTTTTTCTAAACATACTTAAAAGTTTTATGATAACTGGTCAAGTTATCAGTTTAAAAATTATATTTAGTTAAAATTAAATAAAATGAACAATTCAGTTTCTCAGTTGTACTAGTTAAGTCTATACTGATCTTCCAGTTTCTTGTTTGTTACTATTTACTTTTTGTTTTTATTTACTTTTTCATCACTTAAAAGAAATCTGAACCTTTATAACTTTATCTGTTTCTCTGGTTATTATGTTCCACTGGTCAATCTGATTTTGTGCCAGTGCCACACTGATCACTGTAGCCCAGCAAAATGCTCATTACCTGGGAGGGCTAGTGGACTGTCTCCCTACCCACCCATATTTTTGTCTTGATCATTCTTTCTTGATCTAGCTATGTTGCAATTTTGAACAATTTTATTTATCAAAGTCGCACAAACATGTAAATTTCATTTTTTTGTTGGTGAAATATAGGAATATAATTGATTCCCCCCGCCCCGAGATATACTAAATGTATTCTTTTTTTTTTTTTTTAATCCTCACCTGAGGACATTTTTGTATTTATCTTCAGATAGAGCAGGAGGGAGAGAGAGAGGAAGAGAGAGAGAGAAACATCAATGTGAAAGAGACACGTCGACTGGTTGCCACCCACACAAACCGAAACCGAGGTACGTGCCCTTAGCGGGAACAACCTGGGACTCTGGTCCACGGGCCAACACTCTAACCGCTGAGCCAAACCGGCCAGGGCAAGGGTACCTGATGGCTTTCTATGGGAAATACAATTGTATGGTTTTCATGTGAACATCTGCCCTTCTGATTAGAACTGCAAAAGATGTACACCTCAGAACAACATAGAACTGATTTTTTTTTTAAAATCCTCACCCGAGGATACTTTTCCATTTATCTTCAGATAGAGGGGGAGGGAGAGAAAAAGAGAAACATCAACTGGTTGCGGCCCTCACAATCCCAACCAGGGCCAGGACTGAACTGCAACTGAGGTACACGCCCTTGGCCAGAATCGAATCAGCAACTCTGGTCTGTGGGCCAACGCTCTAACTGTTGAGCCAAACCAGCAAGGGCTAGAACTGATTTTTAAATACTGCCCTGTGGCCCTGGCCAGTTTGGCTCAGCGGTTAGAGCGTCGACCTGCGGTCCCCAGAGGCCCGGGTTCGGTTCCCACTAAGGGCGCGTACCTCGGTTGCAGTTTGTCCCCGGCCCTGGTTGGTCGTGCGGGTGGCAGCCACTCGATGTGTCCCTTTCACATCGATGTTTCTCTCTCTCTCTCTCTCTCTCTCTGTTCCTGTCTCTTCCTCCCACTCTACCAGAACAAAAAAGGAAAAATGTCCTCGGGTGAGGATAAAAAAAATAAAATAAAAAATAAATAAATAAATAAATACTGCCCTGTGTCTAGCAACTTTGGTGAATTCACTTATTAATTCTAATACTTCTCATGTCTAGATGCTTTGAAATTTCTATGAATACAATCATGTTGTGAGCAATGATATTTTTCTTTTCCAAATCTTATGTATTTTATTTTTCTTATCTACAGTATTAGCTAGAACCCCTACCACAATGTTGAATGAACTGATAGTGGCATCTCTGTCATGTTCACAAACTCAAACAGAAAGCTTCAAACATTTTACCATAAATAATGTGGTTTGCTGTTGGCTTTATATATTATCAGACAGATTTAAAGAAGTTTCCTTCTATTCTTAGTTTCCTAAGATTTTTAAATGAATGATATTAAATCTTGTCAACCTCGTAATTCCTGGAATAAACCCAACTGGGTCATTGTACAGTAGTAGTCTTTTTTTTTACCCTCACCCGAGGACATTTTTCCATTTTTTGTTCAGATAGCGTGGAAGGGAGGGAGTGAGGGGAGAGAGGGAGTGAGGGGAGAGAGGGGGTGAGGGGAGAGAGGGTGTGAGGGGGGAGAGAGAGAGAGAGAGAGAGAGAGAGAGAGAGAGAAACATTGATGTGAAAGGGACATATCAAGTGGCTGCCACCCACACAACCCAACCAGGGGGCCGGGGACAAACTGCAACCAAGGTACATGCCCTTAGCGGAACCGAACCCGGGTCTCCCTGGACCGCAGGCCAGTGCTCTAACCGCTAAGCCAAACCAACTAGGACAGTAGTAGTCTTTTAATATTATTGGTAGAATGTTGCTTCCTTCTTCATGAGACTGGCTTGTAAGTCTGTTTCTCATAATATTCTTGTCAGGTTCTGTTAACTTCAAAAATGAATTGGGGAGTATTCCCTCTTTTTCTGTTCTCTAGATTTGGTTGATATTGATATTATTTCTTCCTTAAAAGGGTATAAGTTACCAATGAAACTACCTGGACCTAGTTATCTTTGTGGGAAAATTTTAAATTATGTATTGTTTCTTAAAATACATATAGGACTATTCAGATTTCCTATTTCTTCAGTGTCAGTTTTGGTAAGTTGTATATAGTTTTTTGTTTTTTTTTAATTGTTCCATTCTATCTGTTCCATCTTCAAATTTATTCCCATAAAGTTGTTTATAAAGTACTCTTGTGGAGGAGAAAAAAGTCTGCAGGATTTGAAGTAATGTGCTCTTTTTTATTTCTGACACTGATTATTTATACCTTCTTTTTCTTGGTCAAGCTTGCCAGGGGTTTATCAACATTATTCTTATTCTTTTCAAAGATCCATCTTGTAGTTCTTTCAATTCTCTCTATTGTACTTCTTCTCCTATATCATTAATTTTGTTCTATTTATATTCCTTTCTTTAGGCTTAATTAGCAGTTCTTTTTCTGATTGATTGAAAGGGGTGTAATATTAAATATTTTGTCCTGGGTAGTAGTTATATAAGTATGTTAAATTTGTGATCATTCACTGAGTTAGATACTTACGATTTGTGTTTCTGTAATTTTGTGTTATACCACAATATAATTTTTTTTTTTTATCCTCACCCGAGGATATTTTTCCATTTTTTTGTACAGATAGAGTGGGAGGGAGAGAGAGGAAGGGAGAGAGAGAGAGAAACATCGACGTGAAGGGACACATCGAGTGGCTGCCACCCGCACAACCAACCAGGGCCGGGGACAAACTGCAACCGAAGTACATGCCCTTAGCGGGAACCGAACCCGGGTCTCTCCGGACCGCAGGCCGACACTCTAACCGCTGAGCCAAACTAGCCAGGGCCCACAATATAATTTTTTTTTTTTAAATATGTTTTTATTGAAATTTTAGAGAGGGGAAGGAAGAGAGAGAGAAACATCTATGAGAAAGAGAAACTCTATGTGAGAGAGAAACATTGATCGGCTGTCTCCTGCAGGACCCCTACTGGGGATTGAGCCCACAACCCAGGCATGTGCCCTGACCCAGAATTGAACTGGGACCTCTCAGTCCATGGGACAATGCTCAATCCAGTGGGCCACACCGGCTGGAACACAATATAATTTTTTAAAGAGAGAAAATAGATTCCATACAAGGAGAGGAAATTTTAATGGCTTTAGCCTTTTTAATAGTAATACTAGAAGACAGAAAACACAGCATAATGCCTTCCAAATTCTAATGGAAAATGGTTTCCAACCTAGAATTCTATATTTAATCTTTCAATCAACTGCGAGGGTAAAATTAAGACTTTTTCAGACAGGGCAGTCACGGAAAAGTTACCTCCCTGTACCTTTGCTCAGAAACCTCCTGGAGAATGTGCCCAGTAAAAGGAGGGAATAAACAGGGAAATGAAGACATAAGATCTGGGACATAAGAAATAAGAGTTCAATGTAAGAGGAAGGCAAAAGAAACTCCCAAGATGACAGTGCGTGGCAGGCCTCAAGGAGTAGTGTACTTAGGAGCAGCAGGCTGAAGGGCTCTTGGGCAGACATCTCCAACAGAAGCAAATCAAGAGAGTACCTGCTTGTGTTTGACCAAACAGAGATTTTTCAGTTCTGGACCTGGTACTCATGTGATGAATCAGAGGTTCATAGAAATCCAAACAATTGAAAAGACCAAAATATGGCAAATACTACATTTAGCATAAGCAAAGAGTGATCGCCCACCCCCCAAAATGGGAAGTCTAATTAGAACTCAATTCAGCTGTGAATAGGAGTTTTATGGTTATAACAACATGAACAGGGATGACTGACTTAGCCAAGCATTGTGATGTACTACATTAAATGAATGGGAGGAGGGGGAATTTTATATGTTTTTGTGGTGTGGGAAAGTTGTTGGGTGAGGTAACATAAGATAGTAAATCCTCATCGACAGTAGGACATCAAAGGATAACTGAACTGAAAAATCAAGAAACAGTGTAAGCCTGGATGAGTGAAAAAGAGCTAAAACCATTCAAATTGGGGAGAAGGGAAGAGTGGGAAGGTGGTAGGCAGGATGCTGCTGCTTTCTCTTATAAGTACTATCTCATGTTTCTTTTCCAATTATGTGTATTCAGTATTTTCGTAAGAATAAAATAAAAAACTACAATAAAAAAATTCTAAGGGCTTAACAAATCATTTTAGCTTTAAAATTAATTCAGGTAATTATCATTTCTTGAACAAGAGGAAGCATATATGTACCGCACACCAGTAATCATTATTACTTAAGTGTTGTTTCAACCTCAAATTCTCTCCATTTGAAGAACCAAATTATCTACATTTTAGTATAGGGTACATGAAAAGCTGCCACGGAAATCCAGAAGATACAAAGCAAATGCTTTCATTTTATCAGATGAGACTGAATTTACACTATTGTTACTGACATGTAACTTTTCAGGAACATAAATCAATTAGTTGATCTGTCGTGCAAACTCAGGATTATCCATTTATTCTTATGAGCTGATAACTAATGCAACTAAGTGCCCAGCCGAAAGAACAGATAGAGTCTGTCTGAGTGAGATTACCTGAAGAAAGTCACGAAGAACTGCACCAGGTCCATGAAATTGCTGTGCTGGGAGAAGGCAATCTGTGACAGGAGAACAGGCAGTGTGATTAGGATGGTTACCAAACAGCATCATTAACTCAGTCTTCTTGGTTCAACAGTTATGCTGAAAGTATACTTTCAATTGTAAAGAAGAGATTAATGTAATTTTTATTTTTCACTTGAGGAAAAGTGACTCATCCCTTTAGTTTCTTTTCTTTAAATGCCAATCCAAAAGTAATATAGCAGGTCCTCCAATAACATTTCCTTATAACAATGAGGTGCCTAGGAACTTAACTCTTGTTTATATCAATTAGCCTATGGTAAAATCTGTTTTGTTGTATGTTGTTTTGCTTAAAGGTACAGAATCCATCAATGATATGAGAATTTACCGTATTCTGAGGCTTCAACAACCTCCTCCAGCAGCCCTCTGCTCATGACAACATATCTAAGTTTTTTGTTTTTTTTTAATCCTCATCCGAGGACACTTTTGCATTCATCTTCAGATAGAGCAGGAGGGAGAGAAGGAGAAGAGAGAGGGAGGGAAACATCGATATCAGAGAGACACATCAAGTGGCTGCCACCCACATGACCCCAACCAGGGCCGGGGACAAACTGCAACCGAGGTACGTGCTCTTAGCGGGAATCAAACCCGGGACTCTCAGGTCCGAGGGCCGACGCTCTAACTGCTGAGCCAAATCGGCCAGGGCCATATCTAAGTTCTTACAGGCTGACCCTGAAGACCTCTCGTACTAATGACAGGCAAGTCAGTTTGCCTGTTACCTCTTTGTGCCTTCATCCAGACAAAATACTCTCTTGGTCTGCTTCAAATTCTAATTCCTGATCTACAGCAAGGTGGGCAGCCTCATCTCATGCCCTTCATTACTTCAACATTTATGTGCTTACTTCAGGATAATGTCTTTTTAAACCACATCTCAAATTTTACTATATTGAATATCACCTGACAATCAACATAATGCCATTTGGAACTTAAATAATTTCATTATACAGTTAATAGTCTTTTTTTTTAATCCTCACTGAGGACATTTTTCCATTTTTTGTTCAGATAGAGTGGAAGGGAGAGAGAGAAACATCAACGCGAAAGGGACACACTGAGTGGCTGCCACCTGCACGACCCAACCAGGGCCGGGGACAAACTGTAACCGAGGTACATGCCCTTAGCGGGAACTGAACCCAGGTCTCTCTGGACTGCAAGCCGACACTAACCACTGAGCCAAACCGACCAGGGCCAGTTAATAGTCTTTATACCAAAATTCCTAGTGTAGTTAACTCAAAACCACTGACTGAAAGAGGCATTATTTTGTGTACTATTAAGAAACACTGTCAAACTATGAAAAAATGCTTTTAAAATCATTGACCGTAAGATTCACCTTAATTTCAGAGGTATTAGAATATGAAAATATGTGCATCTCAGAATTTATTACTAAGGACAACTGTGTCCTTATATTACCTAAGATACATGCATAGATTTCATATCCTAGATAAAAAGGAACCCACATTATTTGCTTTTCCTTCATTTATTACAGTAACACATCCCAAATAAGAAGTCTCATTAAGAATATGGTTATAGTCCTCATATAAAAGCATTTTAACAAGATTAGAGAGGGACAATTACATAAACAAAGTCATTCAATCTTGAGGAGTGAAGATTTCAGGTTATATACATAAAGGAGAAGGAAACAGATTCTAGTTCATTCAATCCTGTTTATAGAGTTTTATTTCTTAAAACATTAGTAAGTCTTCAGTGTTTACACTTAAAAGAAACCCATGAGATGCTTTAATTATTGTGGGATGCCAGTGGTACCTTCTGAGGATCTATCAGTATCCATGTGCCTACTCCTCAGGGCAGCTCCCCCGGTGCTTGGTAAAGCAGGGTCACAACATGTTCATGACCAATTTTAAAATCATAAACCTATATAAGCTGGCTGCCAGTGTGTCTGGTACCAGACTCATATTATTCTAAAAGGGGTTCTATTTTGTTAAATATTTATCATCTAAGTCTCCACAGTCACAGGGTTTTCTAGGAAAGCAAAGTCATAATATAAAAATATTTATGAGTGGGTCGGCTACTTAGAAACGTCTAGCTCTGCTTAACACCCCACCCACTGTGTTAGTCTTTACTGGTTAATGTTTAATTGAAAGGATGATGAGTTTATTGTCCAAACTAAGAATTACTGTGAGTGAAGGGGAGTGCTAATAAAAATTACACTAGGCCCTGGCCGATTTGACTCAGCAGTTAGAGTGTCGGCCTGCAGACCAGAGAGTCCCTGGTTCGGTTCCGCTCAGGGCACATAACTTGGTTGTGGATTGTCCCAAGCCCTGGTTGGGGTCGTGTGGGTGGCAACCAGTTGATGTGCTCCTCTCACATCGATGTTTCTCTCTCTCTCTCTTCCTCCCTCCCTCCCTCCCGCTCTATCTGAAGATAAATGCAAAAAAAAAAAAAAAAAGTGCTCAGGTGAGGATAAAAAAAATTACACTGGGCCAACAAGCATGAATTGGGTAGTCCCTACTCAGAGATTGTCAGACATGCAAATCAACTGCAAAATCAGTTTTGCAAAAGATGAGGTTTTAGTGAAAGTGCTGTTGGAGAACTGATCACATAAAACCAATGACAAAGAAGATTTGGCAGAATTACCAGCTGAAGAGGGATGAAGAATAAAGATGTAAGTCCTTCAAAATACTCTGAATAGGATTAAGAGAGGGTCTTGGAAAAACCATGAGGCCCTTGACTCTTGTTTTTAAATCATGCTATGAAGTCAAATGTGAAGAGAAAGACTGATCATGCACCACTGCACAACTGAAGCCACAACTCTATCTCCTTATCTTGCTCGATTTTTCCTCCGCCTTTATATGCACATTTATTTATGGTCTTTTTCTTTCACTAGAGAATAAGATCCATGAGAACAGGAACTTTGCTGCTGATTACTATATCTTAGTGCCTAAAGTGGTGACTGGCATGTAAGAGGTGCTTAATAAATATTTGGTGAGTAAATGAATTTGATACTCGAAAAAATAATGACTTCACTTCCCCCATAACTCAGTAAGACATGATTGAGTTTTCTTTCTTCTAAGAAATGGCTTATAGTTGCAACCATAATTTAAATTTTGTTAACTGTAAAACTAAACACTTTTTATACTTTTGGGTTTCATTTCTCAAGTTAATATCCCAATCAGACCTTTCTTTCATAATTATGAAAAAGTTGCAATGTGTTTGTGGACTTTTCTGATACCAAAGACAATAAGGATTTCTATAATAAAATCTATTTAATACAAAGTAAATCTCATTACAATTTATAAATTAAACTCCCAATGTCAGTCTTCTCCCTTTCCAAAGAGTAGGTATCACTCTCCACACTCTAGGACATTTTGAATTTATGTCCCTGTACATTTACACAATCTGCTGCCGACTCATTTTTCAGTGATATGTTTAATTAATGTGTGCTTGCCTGGGGGTGGGAGGGCTCGATGTAAGTTAAATAAATTCTAAAAAACAAAACTCAGCAGCCCAGCTAGCCCCAGGACTTGGGGTAGGATATGGTGGGTCTGCCTAAGCACTAATTTTGTGTCAGCCAAACAAGTGTTTTCAGGTAGCTATATCACTGCACTTAATCTTTCTGTCACCAGAGTGTCCTCCCTTCCTCATTCAGCCATCCCATCATCCACTGGGAAATGGCTCTCTTCTCTGCCATCTCTCAACATTTGATCCACTTCCTTTTCAGGGAAGGGGATGACCATATTCTACCTGTGTAGAGATAACCTGGAATACAAGGTTCCTGTATTCTCTGTCTACAAAGATATCAATGTATGACTTTTTCACTGTTGTAGAAGAAAGCAAAAAGAGGTAATTCCCCACCTCTCACACAAGAGCTGATGCACCTTGCATGCCAAGAACTAGACCAGGGTTCTTAAACTCTGAAGAGTTGCAACCAAGTCTGAACTCTGGGCCCTATTCCTACTTCTGTAGTTTTAAGCTCCCCAGGTGATTCTGATGCTGGTGTCCAGAAGCCACACTTTAGGAAACTCTGAAATAAGAAATTATTCTAAAAAATCTCTTCCCTCGCTCATTCCCTTGAACAATTTCATTATTTTCATGAATTGCACTGAAATAAAAAATTGACATTGTTACTTGAAAGGTTTGGTCCCAAAAGAAATGAACTTGGATCTTCCCCAGGGTGGGAGTCAGGGGAAGGATGAGGGCAGAGGAAGAGAGGGTAGTGCTTTGAAACAAAAAGAGAGACAAGGCCCAAACCTTGAGACTGGGAAATGGAGGGAACACAGAGGATGTTTTAGAGTTTTGAAAGTGCCGAGGAATATGGGGTGACTGCATGGTAGGCCTGGGGGGCTCTGGAGCCTCAGTGATTATTCTGTGTCCAAGCCTATCACACATGGGAATGAGGACAGCTGCCTTCAAACAAACCTAATGGCCACCAGCCAGAGCACAGGGAGCAGTCAGTGAATGCACATCAGAGGTGTTTCCCCAGATCTCGTCTGTTAAACCCTGAGGTTTCTGCACGTCCCTGAGATGGGAATGGAGCTCTGTGAAAACAAGCTGAAAATGAATTTCTTATCCACTAAGGTGGGTAGAAGCTGAGCCCAAGCATATTTAAAAAATAAAAAAAATAAGACATTTCTTATACTCTAATACCATGGAATAAATAATTCTTCTTCTTATTTTTTTTTTTTATCCTCACCTGAGGACATTTTTTCTATTTTTTGTTCAGGTAGAGTGGGAGGGAGAGAGAGGAACAGAGAGAGAGAGAGAAACATCGATATGAAAGGAACACATCGAGTGGCTGCCACCCACACGACCGACCAGGGCCGGGGACAAACTGCAACCGAGGTACATGCCCTTAGCGGGAACCGAACCCAGGTCTCTCCGGACTGCAGGCCGACGCTCTAACCGCTGAGCCAAACCGGCCAGGGCCTTCTTCTTATTTTTTTAAAAACATTTTGCATCTACTATGTGCAATTTACAAAGGAGGTACTCATAAACTTAAGTGAATGAATGACTACTGAGTAACTAG